CATATAAAACTAAAATGCTACATCTGAATTACATAGATTTTAGAGTATAAACAAAAGGAAAGAGAGGAAGGAGGTAGTGTTGCCCTATGAGTCTAAGACATTCATGCATTTTTAGGTCTATAATATAAAACATCTCTTTAAGTCACAAATGAGATATAATGGCATACATTATAATACAGTGCTAGAAGGCTTTGATATAATAAATCCATATTTTATCAAAAGGAATTTCCCCAAGGATTATTACATAAATCTCAGAAATTCTGATCCCATGTTACCACTAAGAAAATGGACATTTGGCTATATAGACTTAATTAAAGATAAACAACACCAGTCAACTACTTTTAGGAGCAAACTCAATGACATGCATGATTATCAAAGCAAACCTAAATTTTAAAAATGTTCATTAAGTAAAACTGAACAATTAAAACAGTAATAAACTACAAGAATGGAAGCAACTGACTAGATATAAGCATGGAGGAATCTGGGCATACAAATACCATGAATCAATAAAATGGTGTTGCCATCTTAAAAGAAATTTAGTATTATAATAGATTATTGCAAATGATCCAAGAGATAAGATAAATATTTGAGTTTTCACACTTCAAGAGAGTCCAAAACAATGGGTCACAGTCATTCTAATCACACTTCTATATCCTAGAATATAACAACATACTGAATAAAAGTGTATTGGCTAAATGTGTGTGTGTGCTAAGTTGCCTCAGTTCATCGCTAGACGAAGGGCATTTAAGAACCTGGAACTGTTTAGTAGCTAGGGAACTCCATAGCCAAACATAAGCTTGAATTGAAAGACATGCCATAGGGTAATTATACTAGTCATAATCTTTAACCCTAGAATTCTGTAAGAAAAAATAAAGAATATTTCAACTCCTAAGGCAGCATGAAAGTGAAAGTCACTCAGTCATGTCTGACTCTTTGCAACCCCATGGACTATACAGTCCAGGGAATTCTCCGGATCAGAATACTGGAGTGGGTAGCTATTCCCTTCTCCAGGGGATCTTCCCGACCCAGGTATCGAACGCAGGTCTCCCGCATTGCCAGCGGATTCTTTACCAGCTGAGCCACAAGGCAAGCCCAAGAATACTAGAGTGGGTAGCCTATCCCTTCTCCAGCAGATCTTCCCGACCCAGGGATCGAACTGGGGTCTCCTGAATTGCAGGCAGATTCCTTACCAACTGAGCTATCAGGGAATCCCCTAAAGCAGCATATGTAACCTCAAATCAGAAAACTTTCGTTATCACAGTTTAAGGGAGGTTGAAATATTGAGGCAGTAAAGAAGTCATCATCTTTCCAGAGGGAAAATGGCAACTCTTAAAATCTCTAAGATGGAGACATTAAGAAATAGGTCCACTAGGAAACAAGGGGAGTTAAAATTAATTGGAAAAGCCAGGGATGAGAAGGTGACAGGCTTTAATACATGGTAGGCCAATTTTTCCTTGCTAACAGTGTAATACGTGAGGAGTTGTATTGCCTTGACGATTTATGAAGTTATGCTATCTGCTAAATCCACAGTGCTTTTAAAATGTAGTAGAGTATTTGTCATTCTACATGATAAACACACTGGAATATTTCATAGATTACCTTCTAGTTAAAAAAAAAAAAGAATAAAGTACAGAATAAGAACAGCTAAAGTTCTATTTATTTAGAACAAACAAGAGAGAACTATCAGTGTAGTTCCATATTTAATGTTTCCCGTTATGACAGACAGATATCTAAGCTCTGGTTTACTAATCAGTAAATTAATGCTAAAGGCAATAATCCCTATACTTTAAAGTTTTAGAGTTCAAAAAGACTAATTACTTTCATTATGCATGCATACATAAAATGGGATGCTTTGGGACCTAAAAAATCTTTTTACCTTCAATTCTAAAATGGGCTGAGACAGAAAGTAACAGTATTTTTAATCATAACATTGGAACTCTTTTCTAATGATAACCAGGAGTGAGTTCTAATCAGTCTAAGATAACTTCCTAAGTGCTAATTCTAGTTCTAAGAGAAAAACTCTACTCAGATAAAAAGCAAAATCTTGTAACACAAAATTCCTCTTTCTTTTCTCTTCTAACAGGATCAGAATAAAGAGATCACTACCTGTTTTTGAGAGTAGAAATAATAAAGTGACAAATATTATTACAAACTGAGAAGACACCTGGCTTTTATTTTTCTTAGAATAGATTTATCACTTGTTTCTTTAGGAATAATCTTTATGATTTTTAAGAAGCATTTAGTATATAGCTCTTTAAAAAAATTAACATTTTAACAGTGAGATTAATCAATGACAATGAAATTATTTCTTCCTTAGGAAAACTAAACACTCACTATACAATAAGAGCAATGACTAGAAATCTTATATGATATTCTATTAGGAAGAGGGCTGATTTTTAATAATTTAATTTCTCCAGAAAATTAACAATCAATATTACTTTCATACCAAAAGAGATATATAATTTTGGGGAAAGAGTAAATGTATGAGGATTTTAAACTTTTTCCTATTCACTTCTCATTTTAAAAATATAATAATTTACAGATCTATTAGCGATTATAATTTTCAGGAAATATATATAAGAAATCCATGTTAAATAACAACAGTGAACTGTGAAGGCATGAGCTTTTGTCACTTTATTGTTAATCAATGAATGTTATCCAAAATTATAGATGTAATGTAACTTAATTGTACAACACAAAATTATGCTCATGGGAAAAGCCTGTTGGAATTTACCAAATACTCATTAATATATTTTTACATTGCTATATGAACATGTGCTTCTCAACTGCTAATAATAAAAGTTATAATTGGTTTAATGAAATCCCATATTGCAAATAGTTGTTCCTGTTTAGAAAAATTCACACAGCTTTAAAAATGGATTAAATCCATTTTAATCCTAATCTACAAATAGATTATAAACAGCAAATATAACTGGTAATTTTTCAACACTGATATCAAACTGAAGTAGGAATGGTAGTGCACACAATTCAAAATGAAGCAAATTAATAAAAATCCAATAGAAATCCAAATTTTCACCTATTATGGCAACTGTTTAATGCTTTGAAGTGAACACATGCTTTAAACCATGAATAGCAGGGCTCACCATCTATTCCTCTTATGTGCTGCAAGAAGCATCCTCTTCCACAGTGTTTTGAAGGATGTGCACAACCACTGTACAACAGTCACTTCAAGGTTAACCAGTTATCTTTTGTCCTACTCAATCCAAAAAATATATTAAATGCAACCTTTCCTCTTCATAATGTCTGCCCAGATTAATCCTTTTAAAGTCAGCAAAATCAAAAAAGCACAAGAGATACTTTCAGACACAACTTAAATCTATTGTGCATGAAAAATGTCTAACAAAATGGCAATTTTAATAGATAAATGTAAATTTGAACGCATAATACCAGATGGAAAGTAGCTGAACCACACAGAGAAAACAAGGCTTTCCTTATCTCCAAATCTAGGTGTCTTACAGTAAAGAAAATGTTAGAACATGTGAATATTCAACATCTTTTAAACTGGAAAGATTTCTTTGTAAAACATAAATGAAATTAATATAACCTAAAATTATAATTTCTAAAATACAATTAACTAACCAAATTTAAGTATCTTTAGAGACTGAAAAAAATAAGCACAATGATTTAGAAACCAAATATGCTAAAATGATTATGTAATAATTACATCAAGAATGAAGGTACAGACATTCGTCGTATGCTACAAGAGCAACCTCTCTCTCACACATTCACACACACATACACACTTCCTCAGATATACAACACCCTTCCAGAAGATAGTATACCAGTGAGAGCTTACAATTTTAATACAAATCAGAGTCCCACAGTTCAGTTCAACAAAAAGGCAGTTAAAATTTAGCACTCTTAAGATATTCTGAAGGAAAAGAAATCTCAAAAATGTTCCTTTATGATGGAAACTATCTCTATGTATTATAAAACATATAGCTTACACATTTCACTATGTTTGAATGACCAGTCACTGCAGGTATAGTAGTGAGGTAGTATTACTGTCCCCTCCTTGGGACTGATGTTTTCATACACTGCCCTTCCAGAAAGGTCCAGGGTTTTTTTTAAAGATGACAATCAATTACCAACAAATGCATAATTTCTTTTATTAAATATGTTTTTCTAAATCAATCTATGAAATCTTTCAGAGACAACTGTTATTTGCAGTAGTGTTTCATCAATAAACTTTCCTAGGGAACCACTTACTACCTGCTGTCTATACCTTTGTGAAATCAGTGGGCAAAGAAAACCAAAGGATGACAGGAGATGAAACACCAATCAATCCAGCTCTGTCAAAGAGGACTGTAATTTTAAAAAGTCCAATAATGTTTTAAATTGAGATTTAAAAAATTAACCACAAGTTGTACACTACACTATTAAACTTTCTAATCCTTTTCATGATTGATAGCCATCTTCTACATAATAATCAAAAACTTTTCACCTATGCTTATTTTAATCACTGCCAATGATTAAAACATGCAGTGCTATGGTTAGAGGGCATGTTAAGGTATGAAAAGTACACACTGAGAAAACGTGAATGAGAGAGAATGTGGAAATACATGCAGCTAAAATATGGAAGGAGAAGGAAAGAGTGCTCTACCTAAACACTCATTACGTCACCATCATCCTGTAAAATGAACAAAGTGCTTAAATCATACACACACATTTGTCAGACATGATAATTAGTGTTAATCCTCAACAGAAATAAAAAAAAAGGGGAAAATGAAAAATGTGAAAAAGGAGGTGATGGAGCACTGTTCTTCATTCCCTGGCCCAAAAGAAAAAGAAAATCAAGCATGGTATCACACTGCCTTAATGTTGAAAAGCTCCCCTTAAATGTCTTTTAGCCACCACAGTCAAACTGGTGTAAGTGCTTTGGCAAGGTGGGATGCATTCCATCACATCCGCAAAGGCCTGCTTTTCTCTGTTGGTGGTTCAGCTTATGAAGAACATGTATGCAAAATAACAGCTCTCACATTGCTTCAAACTCATCAATACGTTGCTTTGTATTGCCTTGCCGAATCTGTCGCAGAGTCTTGTACTTATCACGGCCTGCTTTAACATTCTCAGCATGAAGAACATCATTTTGTGTTTTCTTGGTTTCATCTCTGGCTTGGGCTAATTCTGAACTTAACGCCTGTTTAAAAAATAAAGAGTATGACTACTATTATTTTCTTAGATTTAAAAAAAAAAATCTATGGAAAAGGTTTAAAGACAAAAATACATACATAACACATCTTTGACTTTCTACTACATTAAAATTTCCACTATGAAATCTTTTTCTTTAAATTGTTTGTTGTACTTTTAGTAATAGCGGGAGGTAGTACTTGAGAGGAATACCCATGACCTTTCATTTCTATACCCTGCAACTATGATGATTTGTGTGTTATTTTAAATTTCCTTAACCTTATCATCTAATACTTGAAATGACTTAGAAAGGTTCAATGTAGCCATTATGGTTGGTATTACCATAAGGTCTAAAATCTATACCACGAGAGAAACTTTCTCCAAAAGGATATTAGTACCACTATCACCTCATTTTCCTTATTAATATTTAAAGATTTCACAATTTAAAAATTAGAGAACTTACTTTAGTAAGTTCTCCAACGGGTATAGCAATACTAAAATTTACTATTTTGACCTAATTATGTACATTTAATAAGCTGATCTTTTCCCATTACAAAATCCGAACAAAAAATTTAGATTCTGTAATGTCTTACAGGTAGTCTATTAAATTATCATTGCTTTATATGTATACTGTTTAAAAACAAAATTTGTTTCTTAAACACAGTATTAACATTATGTTCTACTTTTTAACTATAATTAACTATAGTTAAAAGCTATAATTAAATAATAACTTACTAATTAAGGTCTCTACACAAGGCTAACAAACATCTGGTAACAAGGACATACAACGGAAAAAATAATATGCCTGTAGGTCAAGCACTTACAAACCAATCACAAGGCCAGCTAGAGCTAAAGGTTTCCAAAGATCAAGTATTCCTTTTTAGTAAGTTTGTCTTAAAGAATGGGGGAAATGCAAACTATATTTAAACGTGCATACAAACTGCAAATTTCAATACCTGAAGTTGCTTTTTAACACGTTCATTTTTCTGTGTTTCTGTCACACGTTCCTCCTCACTTCTATGGTTCATTACCCCATCATTTGATAATTCAGCGCTAGCCTCGGCGTTATTCTCATCATGCTCGTCATGTTCATTTTCGGTCGGAGGAATGACTGGTGGTGGTGGAGGCGGAGGCGGGGCAGACATCACAGTCTTTAACTCTTCTTTGGTCTTTTCCAAGTCTTCCTGGGCTGCAAAAGCCTAAACATAAAAATAAGCTTATCAGCAACTTACTTTGAAAACCAGTAATTAAAAGTCATCCTTTCTTTCTGTATGTCAAGATAATAAAAACAAGCCCCACTGATAGAAGTTTATTTTCAGAATTAAAGACACCACTGTGCAAACCCTAATAAAACTATTAATTCTAGCAAGGATTATCAATTGCTGCTAAAATTGTTGTACAAATGGTTGATGAGACACGGATATAGATATAATGACAAAGAAATCCACATGTGATAGATTACAATTTAGCAATGATAAAATATAATCAGACATGGGAAGAATAAGACTGTTATTACTCTAATCCCAAAATCAATTAAAATAACAAATGGGGGGCTAATCAGATATTAAGTGTCCTCTGATATAATTCAACAGGAAATATCAAACATCACCAATTATCTGAGTGATTGTATCATGCTGGGTTGCCTGGAAAAGTCCTGGTGTAATTATTAACACTCCCTTTCACTATCAAAAAGTGTTCCAGTTTGGATAATAAATTATATGAAAGTTTCACTTATGAGACATCATAGCCAGAAACTTTTAACTTGAATCCTTCAAGTTTTTAGATTTATCTTTCAGCTTACAAGAATACTGAAGGAAAAAAGAAAAGCTGAATGACAACATAAGGAAACCAGAAAAATACAGAAGGAGGGATAATCTGCAGATCCTTTTAATAAATCAGTACCACAAAAAGAAGTGTCCTACTAAAAGACACAGAGCAAACAGATGCAACGCAAAGTCCTACTTTGGACATTGGCTTGGCAAACTAGCTATAATAGACTTTTTGGGTCAATTCTGAATACTGTGTGCTCAGAAATATACCCACACATATATGGTTAATTAACTTACAACAAAGCAGTCAAGAATATAGATTGGAGAAGGGAAACTAGACAGCCACATGCAGAAGGATGAAACTGGACACCTACGGCACACACCACAGAGAAAAATCAACCCAACATGGCTCAAAAGATTTGAACATAGGACCTGAAACCATAAAACTTCTCAAGAAAATATAGACAGTAAGTGCCTTGATATAGGTCTTTGTAGTAAATTTTTAGATTTGACACGAAAAGCTAAAGCAATACAAACAAAAACAAACAAGTGGGACGACTTTAAACCAAAAGGCTTTGCAAAGGCAAAATAAACATATATATGCACATATATATATATCAAGAATATGAAGAGGCTACAAAACAGGAGAAAATATATGCGAATGATAGGTCTGATAACGTGTTAATACCCAAAATATGTGAAGAATTCATACAGCTCAACAGAAAAAAAAAAAAAAAAACCAACCCTAATAGTATTTTTTAAAAACAAGCAAATGATATGAATAGACATTTTTTATAAAGAAGACAGAGATGGCCAACAGGCCCATGGAAAGATATTCAACATCATTAATCATCAGGGAAATGCAAATCAAAACCACAATGAGATAACACATCATACCTGTAAGAATGGCTATTATCAAAAAGACAAGAAATAACAAGTGTTGGTAAGGATGTGGTAAAAAGGGAACACTTGATCACCTTCACTGGGAATGTAAACTGGTGTAGCCACTGTGGAAAAGAGTATGAAGATCCCTTAAAAAATTTAGAAACAGAACTACTATATATAATCCAGCTATTCTACTTCTCAGTATTTATCCACAGGAACAAAATGCTAACTCAAGAAGAAATATACATCCCCCCAGTATGTTCACTGCAGCATTATTTACACAACAGCTAAGATATGGAAGAAACCTAAGTGTCCATCAGTAGATGAACAGATAAAGAAAAGGCAGTATATGTATACTGTATTGTTCTTTCATCACTAAGTTGTGTCTGGCTCTTTGCAACCCCATGGACTGTAGCTTGCGAGACTCCTCTGTCTGTAGGAGTGTCCATGCAAGAATTACTGGAGTGGGTTGCCATTTCCTTCTCCAGGGGAAATTCCTGACCCAAGGATTGAGCCCAGGTCTCCTGCATTGCAGGCAGACTGTTTATTGCTGAGCCACCAGGGAAGTCCCCATACAATGCAAATATAAATATAAATACAATATGTTCAAATATTAAGACTTTGGATTTCCAAAATCTTAAGATACTGGATTTCCATCCAGTACACATATACAGTGGAATATTATTCAGCTATAAAAAAAGAAAATATTGCCATTTGCAACAACACAGATGGACCTTGAGGATATTATGCCAAGTAACACAAGTCAGACAGAAAAAATCAAATTACCACATGATCTAACTTAAATGTGGAATCTAAAAAACCAAAAAAACAAACAAAAAAACTGAGCTTATGGATACAGAGAAGAGACCAATGGTTACCAGAAACAAAAGTGGAAGAGGAATGGGAAAAGGGAATTAAAAAGTACAAACTCCCATGTATAAAATAAATGAGTCATGGGGATATAATATACAGTATTATATGAACTAATATGAACTATAGTTAAAAATATACTCTATATTTCAAGGTTGCTAAGAAAGCAAATCTTAAAAGTTTACATTACAAGATGAAAATTTCTGTAGCTATGTGATGATGGATGTTAACAAGACTTACCATGATGATCATTTCACAACAGATACAAATACCGAACCATATTATACACCTGAAAATACATTATATGTCAATTATATCTAAATGAAAAACTTTTGAATATAGTCTAAGATGAGATGAAAACTGACTAAAATGAAACAGTATGTACAGAATGAGCTCACTCTGGACATACAAATGTATTGCTGTTGTTCAGTCACCAAGTCATGTCCAACTCTTTGCAACTCCATGGGCTGCAGCACGCCAGGTTTCCCTGTCCCTCACTATCTCCCGGAGTTTGCCCAAGTTCATGTCCATTGCATTGGTGATACCATCCAACCATCTCATCCTCTGTCACCCTTTTCTCCTGCCTCCAATCTTTCCATGCATTCTGGGTCTTTTCCAATGAGTTGGCTCTTCACATCAGATGGCCAAAGTACTGGAGCTTCAGCTTCAGCATCAGTCCTTCCAGTGAATACTCAGGGTTGACTTCCTCTAAGATTGACTGGCTTGATATCCTTGCTGTCCAATGGACTCTCAAGAGTCTTCTCCAGCATGACAGTGCAAAAGCATCAGAGTTCAAAAGCATCAATTCTTCAGCGATACCAATATACATGTATACACACACATGCACTCAATATGTCAGCAAATTTGGAAAACTCAGCAGTGGCCACAGGACTGGAAAAGGTCAGTTTTCATTACAATCCCAAAGAAGGGCAATGCCAAAAAATGTACAAACTACCACACAACTGCACTCATTACACATGCTAGCAAAGTAATGCTCAAAATTGTTCAAGCGAGGCTTCAGTAGTACCTGAACCAAGAACTTCCAGATCTACAAGCTGGGTTTCAAAAAGGCAGAGGAACTAGAGATCAAATTGCCAACATTAACTGGATCATGGAGAAAGCAAGAGAATTCCAGAAAAATATCTACTTCTGTTTCACTGACTACGCTAAAGCCTTTGATTGTGTGGATCATAACAAACTGTGAAAAATTCTTAGAGATGGGAATACCAGATCACCTTACCTGTCTGAGAAACCTGTATGCAAGACAAGAAGCAACAGTTAGATCCAGACATGGAACAACAGATTGGTTCAAAACTGGGAAAGGAGTACAAGGCCATATACTGTCACCCTGCTTATTTTAGTTTGTACGCAGCGCCTATCATGTGAAATGCCAGGTTGGATGAATCACAAGCTGGAATCAAGATTGCCAGAGAAATATCAACAACCTCAGATATGTAGATGACACCACTCTAATGGCAGAAAGTGAAGAGGAACTAAAGAGCCTCATAATGAGGGTGAAAGAGGAGAGTGAAAAAACTGGCTTAAAACTCAACATTCAAAAAACTAAGATCATGGCATCCAGTTCCATCAGTTCATGGCAAACAGAAGGTGAAAAAGTGGAAGCAGAGACAGATTTTATTTTCTTGGGCTCCAAAATCCCTGGGGATGGTGACTGCAGCCATGAAATTAAGACTCTTAGCTTCTTGGAAGGAGAGCTATGAGAAACCTAGACAGCGTATTAAAAAACAGAGATACCACTCTGCCAACAAAGGTCTGTGTATTCAGTTATGGTTTTTCCAGTAGTCATGTACGGATGTGAGAGTTGAACCATAAAGAAGGTTGACAGCTTTAGAACTGATGTTTTTGAATTGTGGTGCTGGAGAAGACTCTTCAAAGTCCAGCAAGGAGATCAAACCTGAATATTCACTGTAAGGACTGATGCTGAAACTCCAATATTCTGGGCACCTGATGGGAATAGCCAACTCACTGGAAAGACCATGATGCTGGGAAAGACCGAGGGCAGAAGGAGAAGGGGACAGCACAGGATGAGATGGTTAGATAGCATCACTGACTCAATGGACATGAACTGAAGCAAATTCCTGGAGACAGGGGAGCAGAGGAGCCTGGCATGCTGCAGTCAATGGGGGTCACAAAGCATCGGGCCACAACTCGGTGACTGAATAACAACAACACACATATGCACATAGGAAAAGATCCTGGAAGGATATGCACTGTGATGTTAAAGTACTGATCCTAGTTTGTGGGAATGTGGTTTTTCTTTTATGTGCATTTTCTAAATTCTATAATTCACAAGATGTATTTCTGTGATACATTATTTTTATAAGTTTATGTGTCCCTGAAGTTCATAAATCATTCCTAAGAGGGATCTATACAATTCTAATAAAGGAAGTGTTAACAAATAAGTTAACAGTGCTTTCACTCTTGCGGAGTTCTATGTACATATATGGGCTTCCCATGTCGCCTGCCAATGCAGGAGATGCGAGTTTGATCCCTGAGTCTGAAAGATCCCCTAAGAAGGAAACAGCAACCCACTCCAGTATTCTGGCCTGGGAAATTCCATGGACAGAGGAGCCTGGAGGGCTACCGTCCATGGGGTCACAGAAGAGTCAGACATGACTTAGCGACTAAACAACAACATGTACATATATACATAACTCTCAATATAAAAAACTCCCCTATGAAATCCAAAGTGCTACAAAGAAAATTTAAAAGTGAAAGAAAACCATTTTAGCTAATAAGTACATGTTGTTGTAGAAAAGTCACAGAACTATATACCTTTGAGTGTAAAAAATTATTATTATAGTTTCATTTAAAAGTTTAAAGTCTGAATTAAATTCTCCTATCCTATATTCCCCACCCTTCCAAGTAAAGCCTAATTTCTCACATTTTTGCCATTTCAGACAACAGTGGTTTCACGTACTGGAACTCAGAAATCTCAGTATCATTTGATTACATTCTTCTAATTCAACTTTATAGCCAATCACTTGGTTGCCACGCCCCTTTGAATCTATCAAAAAATGTCTTTCAACAATTCCTGTCCCTCTTTTCTCAGTGCCACATCCTTAGTGAGTCATTAGCTCGTAAGCAATCCTGCCCACTATCCTAATCCATCCATCATTCTGACTGCTAAGCTGGTTTTATAAAACGATGCTTCATCACGGTACAAACGTTGTTTTGAAATCTTCAGAGCCCAAAGTCTACAGATGCTTCCCAACATCTTTCCTTTGAGCAGGGCGTTGACTTACAGCCTTTCACAGCTTAATGACCTCTCTAACTTTCTAGCCTCGACTCTCAAAAGTTCCTGAAATCAGATTTTTCCTATGCTCATTCAACTCCTACAATCTGGAATGACTACCTCCTCAGTTCCCATCTTTTCTACCCCCAAACTGAATGTCATTCAAGAGCCAGCTTAAACTTTCAAGGGTGGGCGTCCCCAACACCGGCCTCATTCCTACAGAATCTAACATTTCTGTGTTCCCAAAGTAGTTATTAGATTTTATCACCAGATTAATATTAAAATACAATGTGTACACATTCATACAGTGGTATCTCTTCCCCTCTAAATCATGACTGTATCTTAATCTCTATAAATTCAGCATATGCTGGGTACAAAATAAGTGTTCGGTAAATGACAGTGATGAACAAATGATTACTTTGTGTTGCCACTCAGTAGCCTCCTCTTCCTTTTTCTTCTTGGCTTCCTCGAGAAGGGCAATCTTGGCAGTGAATTCGGCAAGTTCTGCTGCCTAAAATAAATGAGACAATTACCAATATTAAGAAGCATAATAAAGTTTCAATAATTTAAGTCAAAAAAGCTTTAATATACATGAACTGCTTTTCCTTTTTTGGACATGACATGTGGCTTTCAGATTTTAGTTTCCCCACCAAAGACAGAACCCATGCCCCCTGCAGGGGAAGTGTAAAGTCCTAACCACTGGATTGCCAGGGAATTCCCACATGGACTCTTTTTATATGTTTCTCATAGAGCCTTCTGTTAAAAAAAAAAAAAAAAAAAGGAACTATTTCTTTAAGATCATAAATATCTTATTGGTATTATAAGCTCATAAGGAAAAAAAGTGAGTTTTTATTATTATTCTATGTACACAAAGTTACTCCTGTTTTTATAGCAAGAACCTAGGAGCTACTTTTTAACTTTCATCAATAAAATATTTGCTAACAAGGAAAAAAAAACTGTTTACATAATGCTTTTTACAGCACTTTGTCAAATAATCTCATTTGACTCCCTAATTAGGTGATTTTACTCCATTTTTTCAAAGGGAGGGATCTGAGACTCAGAAAGACCCAAAGACACAGAGCAAGGAAAACACCTAAACCAATATTTAAATCCCAATTCTTCTAGGTGTCATGCATACTCATCATTTGCAGGTCCACTAAATACACACAAAAAAATCCAATCATGACCCATCTTATAGTCAACCTATGATCATATAAAATTTAGAATATATATAATGGCAATTTGTCTAAAGCAAAACACACCAGTAGCTTATACAAAATCTAAGTGGATCAGTATCCTTTGTTAACTACAGGCTCTATGTAGCTTTTATGGTTTTATTTCTAGGTTTAGGCTCATTTCCAAACTTTGTCATTAAGTTACTTGTATCTCTGGTTTGCTTTAAAGAAAGTATAGTATGCCTAATTTTACAGAAGTTTGTTCTTTTTTTTTTCAGTCTCCATTATCTGAACTTGTTTTCTTATTTCACTAGTCCTCACTGGCAAACAAAATTTTTACTGCTGATTTTGGGTACAACACACTTCTGGCAGTGGCTACACAATATTGATCACTTATTTATTACAGTAAATAAATACTGAAACCTCCAAACTGTCTACTTTTACACTGGTACTACCTTTATGATGACAGGTATTCCTGTCTGAATACAGAAAACAGTTTTCATGTTTCTTTGTTATTCTACTTACTGCTTTTAAAATACATTCAAATAAAAAGATATTTGAATGTATTTTAGGAGTTCACATTTCAGCTTTGCTGGTGGCTCAGCTGGTAAAGAATCTACCTGCAATGAAGGAGACCTGGGTTCAATCCTGGGGCTGGGAAGATTCCCTGGAGAAAGGAACGGCTACCCACTCCAGTATTCTGGCCTGGAGAATTCCATGGCCTGGATAGTCCATGAGGTCACAAAGAGTTGGACACGACTGAATGACTTTCACAAAGGTATGTCTTTGCAGTGAGTGCACACATACCACAGTGAGGAGAGCTGAAAACACATTTAACCAACACCTTTGTGTTCAGAGGGCTTCCCAGGTGGCTCAGTGGTGAAGGAGTCCACCTATGCAGGAGACACAGGGGATGCGCCAGTTTGATCCTTGGGTCGGAAAGATCCCCTGGAGGAGGAGATGGCAACCCACTCTAGTATTCCTGCCTGGAGATTCCCATGGACAGGAGGGACAGGAGGAGCCTGGCAGGTTATCGTCCAAAGGGTCGCAAAGAGCTGGACACGACTGAGCCACTAAGCATGGAAGGATGCATTTGTGTTCAGAGAATATATAGTCTGAAACTGTGGGACTGATTTTATCCATGCTTTTGTCTCAATTTTTCTTTTTCCCTAATAGAACCCAGGTTCCCTTACCAGCTGCTCCTGATTCTTCATCTGGTCGGCAGCCTGTTTCGCTAGAGCAGACTTGGCCTCTTCAGCAGCTCGACGCTCCTTTTCAAGCCTTTCTGCTTCTTCTTTTGCTCGTTTTCGTTCCTGGTCCAATTCTAGAGCTTTTCGAGTCTGTTCTTCCAATTCTGTCAAATATATGTATTCCCCAAACAATGATTAATTCTAATTTTCTCATTATGAAAAGAAGCTGTAACAGTAGCAAGGAATATAATCTGTACAGTTTTTAAAAATAGCACACCTTTAAATGAACATACACCCGTATGTTAACTTGAAAAAGGCCTAATACATTTTAAAACTCTATTTACACTCAAAAAATGCAAAGAAATGAAAATTCTTTATAACTCAAGTTATAACTCTAGAAACATATCCTTTATTTTTAAAAAATACTCTCTCCAACAGAGAACCCTCCTACACTGTTTGTGGGAATGTAAAAACTGGTACAGCTACTATGGAGAACAGTATGGAAGTTCCTCAAAAAGCCAAAAATACAACTATCATATGACCCAGAAATCCCACTCCTGGGCATATACCCAGAGAAAACCATAATTTAAAAATATATATGCACCCCAATGTTCGCTGCAGCACTATTTACAACAGCCAAGACATGGAAGAAATCTAAATGTACACAGACAAAGGAATGGTGTGGTGCATATATACAATGAAGTATTACTCAGCCATAAAAAGAACAAAATGATGCCATTTGCAGCAATATGGATAGACCAGAGATTGTCAGACTGAGTGAAGTTAAGTCAGAGAAAAACATATCATATGATATTGCTTATATGTGGAATCTAAACAAAAGGGTACAAATGAACATATTTACAAAACAGAAGTCAAGTCACAGATGGAGAAAACAAACTTATGGTTACTAGGGGCTGGGGGCTGGGGGCGGTATTTGGACTGACATATACACACTGCTATATGTGAAACAGATAATAAGAATGTGCCGTGTGTATAGCGCAGGGTACTCGATTCCATACTGTGTAATGGACTATAAGTTAAGAGTCTTAAAAAAAAAAGAGGGGATATACGTATAACTGACTCCCTTGGCAGTACACCTAAAACTAACACAACATTGTAAATCAATTACACTTCAATGAAAATTCAAACAAAGACTCTCTCCGCACTTTGAGAAGAGATACACTGCTCTTTTTGAAGTGTACTTCGTTCACGCTGGGCGCTCATTGTGGCGTGCGGGCTGCCTTGAGTTGCAGCACAGGCGCTCTACAGGACTTGGGCTCAGGCTCTCTAATTGGGGCGTCCAGGTTCAGCTGCCTCGTGGCGTGTGGGATCTTAGTTCCCTGACCAGGGATCGAACCCATGTCCCCTACACTGGAAGGCAGATTCTTTACCACTTGACCAACAAGGAAGTTCCCTCTCCAGAGTTTTGACCAAACAAGCTGCCATCTATTTCAAAAATCTATAAAATACCACACTTTAAAACTTGTGGAAATTTTTACTTATCTAAACTAAGTATTAGATAAGTAAACCCAAGAAATTAAGACTGAAAACAATACTGACTCAAATAGAAATTTTGATGTGGATTTTATGAATTACTGAAAATTTTGAATTATTAGTACACATCCATTCCTCAAGCAGGAAGATAAGAAAATAGTATTTGGTGATGAATGAGATGAATTTTAATCCTTAAGTATACAGATCATAAAGTTAATTCTCTTATTCTAATGAGCTGAGTGAGAAAGGAAAATATTACCAGCATAAAGCCAAAAGAGTTAAAATCAGTTTGAAAGTACTAATTTTAAATATTAATTCTGACAATCTGTGTTAAGTAGCAAAGACATCTGCGACAGAAGACAAGAGAATGTCATCTATGAAGGTGGGTGCAATGTCCTACAAAGGATGATTCTCCCATTCTGTATACCTCAGAGAAGAGGAAAACCTAAAAATCTATATGTCAAAAGGTTTGAAATCTAACTGTCACGTACAAATCACCTTACTGTTCTTAAGTTTGCTGTTTTTGGTCAGAACTAAGTAAAGTTAACTATAGTTACAACTTGGGAGGGTTTGAGAAAACTGGGAAGAAAAATGACTTTAAACTCTAGATAAAGTAAAAAATTCTATGTGGCTATTTGGCTATAAAGATGAAATGTATGTAACAAAGGATGTTACTGAAGCTAAATTCTAAAATTAATTCATTTTACTATTTGTCTTCTAAAACAGACATCAGAGCTAGCTAACCCATCTAACTCTTCTTAGAATATTCTATCTGGTTTACTGACATATAAAATAAAGCTCACAAAGTTCATGGCTTTATCCTTCTTCTAAAAAAAGCAAACAACTAATAAGAAAAGTTCACAAATGAAAACAAAGCTTTCTCTCATAATAAAAATTTTTTCTGTACTATGATACAATAAAGAAAAATAAGTCTGAGTTACAAAGTTAAATTTCAAAATAAAGATTTCCCAGTATTCTTTATTTTCTATCAGGTTTTTTTTTTTGTAGTATTAATTTGAGGAACAGTAGATAAAGCAATGATTGCTTTGTGGTATATTAAGAAATATGTACATAAGTCTAATTTTTTAAACGTTGAGAAATACATTGAAAACTTCAAATCTACTCTAGCCTCTTCCAGAAAGTAAGATTTTGTGCCATACGTCTCATAAAGATCCTCCTGCTTTCCCTTCCAGTTAACTATAATTTGTCAACTATGACGCACGGACCAAACCCAACCCAATATCTTTTTTTTGTAAATAAAGTTTTACTGGAGCTCACACCCTCATGCATTTAGGTATTATATATGACTGCTTTCATGCTGCAGTGGCAGAGCTGAAAGCTGTAACAGATCATGTGGCCTGCAGAGCCTAAAATATTTACTATCAAACCCTTTACAGAAGGAGTTTGTGAAACCATGAATTACAGTATTTCAGGAGTTCCCTGGCAGTCCAAAGACTAGGACGTGGTGCTCTCACTGCCTTGGGCCTGGGTTCAAGCCCTGGTGGAAGGAACCAAGATCCCGCTAGCCATGTAGCACAGCCAAAAAAAAGAAGAGTATTTCTATGAAACAAACATCCCTCCAGACCTTGGATCAAGTCAGAAGCGCTTGAGAAGGATTAGATAAGCAAGGTGAATAACATCAATGTTTTTACCCATCTGGGTCATAAAAATCTAGAACTTACAATTTTTGAGGATCTGTCAAGTGGGAAAGTCAAGGAATCTGGCTTCCTTTAGAATCTCAGCTCTTTCAGGATGAAGGGGAAAAGCTTCCAGAATAGATTGCTTCTCTCACTAATAATAGTACACAGCATACTGATGTAGATGGTTATGGAAGTTAAATTAGGAGTAGACCAGGAAAGTTATTCTAAGTTCAAGCTAATAAAATTTGTGAAAGTTTCTCCTTCTTAATCAGGTTTGAATACAAGTACCACTTGATTTTGACAAGTCTAAGACTTTATTAGCCAAATGATCTCTAATGTTACTCCCAAGGGCAAAGATTGGAAACTATAAAATTGGAACAGTTATAAATAAAAAATATATTAATAAAAAAAAATCTCAGAACAATTATAGATTTTTTCTCTTCCTCTTTCCAGTCTAGGGCAACAGTTCATTTTTACACTGGAGAAAGAACTAATAGATATTATAAAACAAAAGCAAATAAAAGTCCTCTTATTAAAATTCTTAGAAATCACAGAAAAAGAATATGATCATAAATTACCTGATGAAAAAGCAACTTTAAAGTATCTGTACTACATCTAAGCAATGGAGTATTGTGTTATTGTAAAAAAGTAAGGAAGATACCTTTGAATACGTATGGACTTTCAACATTATGTTAATTGAAAACAGCAAGGTGCAATTAGTTTAAGAAAGAAGTGGAGAGAAAAGCATATCTTTGTGTGTATATCATGAACTTGCTTATTTTATATACAAAAAATGGTATATAATAGTCCTAGCAGAGCAGAATAAAGGCAGAGCCTGCAATATTCTATCAAGCTAAGAAAACAGAGATCTAGACTCTGGAGCTGCCAAAGCATCCAAGACTTGAAAGGACAAGATCCTGAAAAGAAATAAATAGAAAAGTTTCAAAATCTGTGCGTTATTTCCCCTCAGGATATTTGCCAACTCCCAAAATGTACACAAATGAGCTCAAATACTACAGAAAGAAGCAAAAAGTAGCTGTAAGCGCAAAGAGCTCATCTGAGAGGTTAAGAACCTCTTGCAGTTTAGGAATCAAAGGCTGGATTTGAAGCCCTTTACGATGATAGAACTGTCCCAGTAAAGTCTTTCAGATGACGCCCCCAAGTGGCTACAGACTGGCGGTAAGGGAAAACCAGAAAGAGACCAACCTTAGCAAAGCCTGAAACCCAGCACAACTCCATCAAGGTGATCTGCACATACTCTGCCTGTCAAAAGAAAAATCCTCTCTAAAAAATTAAATCCTCTCTAAAAGAAAATGTAAGCCTTTCCTGGTGGCTCAGATGGTAAAGAATTTGCCAGCAGTGCAGGAAACCCGGGTTCAATCCCTGGATTGAGAAGATCCTCTGGAGAAGGGAATGGCAACCCACTCCAGTATTCTTGCCTGGAGAATCCCACAGAGGAGCCTGATGGGCTATGGTCCATGGGGTTGCAAAGAGTCAGACACAAGTGAGTTACACTCGCCCCCCCCCCGCCCCACCAGCCCTGAAAGAAAATAACACCATCTAAAGTCTCTGTAGACTAATAAAAATAAATGAAAAATAAAATAAAATAAAGTCTCTATAGCTTTTTTACATACAGTGTCGTGCATCTAATCAATATCAGACAGGACCAAATGAGGCCCTTTAAAATCCCCTCTTCCACCCCAAAAAGGGAAAACAGACTACAGAACAGGCCCATAAATTAGCCAGACATTGGAGTTAACAAGCAAGGTTATTAAAAGAACTATGACTGATACTGCTCATCTAGGAGAACTGGAAAAAAAGCAAAGCATGAGGAAAGAATCAAAAGCCAGACAAACACTGGCAATAATGCAGAAATGGATTTTCAGAAGTCCAAAAAACCCTCTGCAAAGACACCAAGGGCTAGAGTCCCATTTGTAACTATAAAAGTTCAATTTATCAATCTTTTTTTATGGCTATGAATACAGTCTTTCCTTTACTACCTTCTAGAAACTCCACACCACCTTTACCTT